AACCCGTAGTTACCTGCAACCTGAATTTGACACAGAGCCGCAACTTAGATATGAAGAGTACTACTATTATGATTTCAATAGTATTAATTATTTTGGAATCAATAATTTCTTTGCTGGTATTGATTGGAATAGCATTTTTGAAAGTACTTCTAATATTGATCAAGCTGTTCAGAATCTATACGAAGTGATTTTCACCGCTGTTAACTGGTATGTACCATTTAAAAGATTTAAAATCTGTAATTTTCCCGTGTGGTATGATTTCAAACTGAGAAAACTATTGATAGAAAAGAAAAAATCTCATATAAGATACAAAAAAAAGTACAGGGTGCATTGAGCACTACCATCAATTTACTGATTTCCGAAATAGGTGAAAAGAACTTCAGAAACAATGCTATGAATCTTACATTAAAACAATCAAAAGTGCTATTTCAAATGATTTCGAAGCTTTGGAAGCACATTAACAATAAAAGAAAATCATATAACTTACCATCAACCATGTATTTGGAGGATATAACTTGCAATAGTAACAATGGTATTGTTAATTTCTTAGCAAATTATTTTTCTACTACCTATTCTGACGAAAAGATTACTCAAATTCCCCCATATAAATCTACAGAAAGTACACATGTTTCCAACTACTATATTGAAACAGCAGAAATAATCAACCAACTCATGATAGCCCCAGGAAAACCCTCGGCTGGTCCCGAGGGTTTTGCAATTTTTAAAAACTGCGTATTCACTCTAGCAAAACTCTTACAAACAATATTCAATCTTCATCCATGGAAACCTTTCCGGAATTCTGGAAGCAAAGTTTTCTAACACCAATCCAGAAATCTGGAAATAGAAAACATTAAAAATTACCGTCCAGTCAGCATTCAATCAGAAATTCCTAAGTTACTGGACCTTTTGATAACTTAAAAACTCACATTTGATACGAAAAACATAAATGAACAATATGGCTTTATATCTAGTACACTACGAATTTATTTTCTTATCGTTTTATTTTGAATAACTTAAGAGGAAAAACACTCTATACTGGTTTCTCCAAAGTCTTCGATAGGGTAAATCATGATCTTTTCATGGATAAGCTAGCATTAGGCATCAATGATAACATGTCAATATAGTTAAAGAGCTATTTGGGGGAATATAATTCGTTAAATATGCTAGTTACATATCATCACGAATTTCTGTAACGTCTGGTGTTCCTCAAGGATCGCATATAAGGCCAATACTCTTCATGTCATACAACACAGCTATTACTAAATGTTTGCAGACGCTCTCAAACTTTATAGGGTAGTAGATACAGCTGGACTTGAATAACTTATCTCGTTGGTGTGAAATGAACATGCTTCATTTTAATATAAATAAATATTATCAAATAACATTTTCAAGAACTATGAAACCTATTGTATATCCATTCAAAGTCAAAAACATTAATCTAATGTTGACCAACAGCATTATATACTTGGGTATATACTTGGGTGTTGTTCAATAACAAAGTAACCTTTAAAGGTCATTTTGATCACATTGTGTCTAAATATCACTCAAATTATTGGGATTTGTTCAACGATCCACAGACAAATTTTCTATAAATACCTTTGTGCTATTGTTTTTTTGGCACACTTTGTCTTGGAAAGTAATTGCGTTGTAAGGAGTTCTCTATATCAGGAACATATATGTAGGATTAAGAAAATACAAAACAAATTTCTGAGATCATGTGCATTTAAGTTCAGATATCAGAGGTTCGATTATGAGTACTCCGATATTCTGCTACTTTTTAATTTGTCTACTTTGGAGCACCACCGAGCTGAAATTGATTTAATAAGACCTCTTCATAAAGTCATAAATGGTGATACGAACTGTTCATTTGTAACACAACTAATTGACTTCAATGTAAATTAGAGAAGAACCATGGTGTCGGAGTTGTTTAAAAGTTCCTTATCATTCTACTAGCTATGGCTCAAATGAATCCATTACTAGAATGCTTAGGCTAGCAAATAAAAATAGCATCTATATTGATTTATTTTATTCATCTTTATATTCTTTCTACTATGAAGAAACTGCTTATTATTATTATTTTGTATTCTTGGTATTCTATATTATTGTCCAATTGTCTATTGTTTTTCTCACACTATTTATATGTTCATTGTAAAATGGCAAGTCCGTAAATAAATAAATAAAGATCTATTCCAAGTTCGTGATTTCCTTTTTCAATGAATCAATAACATTTAAATGACCACCCATGCATACTAATTTATCTCTGTGTGAAACACACATTAATAATGAAATGAAAACCCTGTAGTAAAGAAGGTATGAAGTAAATTCACTATATGCACCAAGTTTAATGGGTTAATATGTGTGCGAATCCATAATTTTAGAAATTAGCTAAGTGAATGACAAGTAAATGATAATTTCATAAAATCTTGAATTGTTTGAAATAGAGAGTCCAAACAATGCATTTGCTATCCAACACCAGACTGTGTTATTGGACAGCTCTGAATGATGTTGGATCACAAATGCATTGTTTTTGAAGAAAAGGCCTGAAAAGAATATTCGAAAATGTATTATATTTTTGTTATTTTATTCAATTTCAGATAGTTTGAAAATTGAGTGGTTAAAAAAAATAAAAAAACAAGTCGGCCGTCATTTGAACCCACGATTATTGATTCATAAGTCATAAACCACTGTTCTACCAAGCTTCTCACAAATTAGTGTGACATAAAGCTATTTGACTTTGTAATTACTTTCATTTTGTTATTTAGTGACAAACTTTTGACAAATATCAATTTCTTCAAGACATTACAAATTTGTGGTGGGCTACACCCGTCTTCACTTCCTGTGAGCATGTTTTTGTTCTTGTTTTTGTCAAGAAAATATATTTTGTTAAAACAAAGCGTTCAGTGATTAGGTATGAAACTTTTGAGAACAATTTTTAAGTAGGTACATTCTCAAGGCTCACTTGCGAATAAAAATAATTCAAACCCAAATGTACATTAATGAATTTGGTCATCTGTGATTGGTCTTGAAGGTGTTGAGTAACGGATCATTCTCTGTGCGGAGAATGAAACTAGAGTTCATAACCAACAAGAAACAGCCATACAATTGACGCTTTTTTCAGTAGCCAAAGACAAACAATTTAACTATATTTCAGATATTGCAAAACTCATTATAGTCTCATTTGTAGAGTACACCTGTTAAGTATAACGGAAAAGCTTAAAAAAAAAAAATTAAAACCCCAATCTGACAACAAAAAAATAAGAATATAAATGAACTATCATTCGACTAGATGTAAATGAAAGTTCAATTCATTATTATATATAACTAATCACGGACTATTTCCTTACAAAAAATCTATCTATGGGATCGTTTCAAAACTCTAATGTTGCTTATCCAATGAAAATAAGAGTTTCCACAGCGGTCTGTTGTAAAGCCAAGCTTCGATATTGATCTCCGAATGTTGAATCGCTTTCTCTATTCCTTTGCAGCTTACAATTAGATATAACCAGATATCCATAATAGGATAGTTAAGTAACCTTTTATTGTGAGATTTTTTCTAAACACGTGTTTCACTATACAATAGTTTCCTCAAGCGAGTTCATACTAACTAAATGCTACCTACTTAGTGTTTAATATATATTANATGCTACCTACTTAGCGCTTAATATACATTAATAATCTAAATTATAATGGTTTTTACTACCTACTTAATGACTAATAATTCAAAAAAGTAACAAATTCATTTTATTTGACAAAATAAAACTAACTCACTTTGTGTATCAACTATCTACTAACTTCTACATTAGCAAATAAATTCAACAGAGGATTGTTCAATTCTATTTAGTGTTCAAGTAAATGTTCTGAATTCTTGAATCTATTGATTTCCAAGCAGTCCAAAAGATTAAATTTCACACCTTTCATATAGTCGTGATTACACTCACGTCTCTCTACCAAAAACCTCTTCTATGTTTTTTTATTCCTTGGGAAAAGATTCTCCTTAAACGGGGAGAATCCCATAGTAGTATGTCGTATATAAAAGGAGGTTGAATTTGAGAAAAGTAGAAAACTCGTGGACTGTTAATATCAAGAACTTTCCGCATACACATAATTTTATATATTCGAACATAGTGGTTTTGTATTTGTGTGTATTCAACCCTAGTTATTTTTGAGAATTTATTGGCTTTGACACTATGGATCTAGATTATTTCAATAGCTACTGAAATTCGTTGTATGCTTCGATGTCTAGTATGAAACATTAGATTGGCATACAGTTGATATTCTGGCGGATTTTTCAGTAATACAATTTAGCAGCTATTTCATGTATAATATATACCAGAGTTTTACAATTAGACATTCATGGATAACAAAAACTCTCACTGGACATTTTTTCTTTTCTATGTNATTTTTAGATCTAATTTTCAGTGAAAACGAGATTGTGTTAGATAAATCGTGTATTAAAAAGCTACGGGTAATTTCTGAGGATTGAAAATGAAACGGTGTCAGTCAACGGTGTCTTGATAGAATGATTTGAAATTGATTGTTTCCGTTCACAGTACAAAGAAATGACCTTTGTTTGAAATAGTCGCCTTTTGTCATCACTACAATAGAATAAATTGCATTTTAGTCCTCAAATGATTTTTGTGAAAATATTGAAATAGGTATTGTAATATTATCCAGTAAATTTAAGTGAAATATAATAAATGACTTTGTTCAAATTGTGGAGGATGTAGCTGAAGATTGATACTCTTTGAAATGTGATCATAATCTCCAGTTATTTTCTAGATATATGACTTGCTACAATAACATTCAAAAATTAAAGTCTTGATAATAAGTTTCTTTATTATCCTTCAATATCACGATATACAGGGTACTGATTAGTTATTCCCGTCTTATTTCACCTCTTTTATAGTATTAAAAATGTTCCTCCAGTTTTGATGGAATGTACATATAACATATTTCTTTCAATTTCGTGTTTTCTAAAACATTATTTTTGTTAATATTAGCAACAACAATCAGGTCTCACAGTCAAATTCCAACATCAACTTAGAACAACCACCTGGTGCAATTAGTGTTTCGACTGCTAATACAAGAACCATAAAAATATCCTATGGACCTCAAGGGGAAGGAACTGTACTTAAAATTCCAGCAAAAATAGACAGCCTAAATGATGATTCAGAAGAAAACATCAACATCGAACAAGTCAATAAACCAAAGACAACCGATAATAAAGCAGTACGTAGGGCATTAAAAAAGGCCAAAAAGGAAGCAAGAAGAAAAGTTCTTCTGGCAGGAGGATCTCCATTATATTTAGGAGGAGTTTCTCCCAGATATACGATAGGTAGTGCATCTCCAAGACAAGGTTTAGGAAGCAATTCTCCTAGATATCTTTGTACAACATATGATATAAATATTCCAAGGAGAAGAAAACATAAAATGAAGCATAAAAAGAAACATAGAGAAGATAAAGATCGCAAACATAAAGAAGGAGAGGTGAGTAGAGACAAACTTAATATTTTCCAATTCACCACTCATGGAATTTCAATCCTATCGTTAATTTTATATTGAAATATCAAGTGATTACAATCCATTATAACAAGTATACATCAGATATACACCTAGACAAACCATCTACCTTGGTAATAAGGATCATTAAAGGAGCTCTAATTATTGTGTTACTGTATCTTAATACCTGATTGTATATTCATGACAACTCTCAGACATGTTGAGGGATACTACTAAGTACATGTTATACATGTTATAGTCTGCTTAGTTTGTCCATCATTCTTTCATTATAGGCATTTAGTTTTGTCTAGCTTGGTTGGCCAAATTCGTGTCGAGAGATAGTTCTTCTAGTTCTATTGCGAGAGTTAAATTCTACCCATCACACAGTAATATAGTTTTCAAGCGGGGCTTTAGTAAAATCAATTCTTTATTCATCCATTAAAGCAATATGCTATGAGCTGGTAATTTCTTCTCGTGAAGTTGAGAAACTTGTGCGAGCTAAGGACTAACGAGGTCTTACCTTTTAACGTGTGATTCCTAACACGGTGTAAGAGACTAAATCAATCAATCATCAATCCTATCGTTAATTTTATATTGAAATATCAAGTGATTACAATCCATTATAACAAGTATTCATCAGATATACACCTAGACAAACCATCTACCTTGGTAATAAGCATCATTAAAGGAGCTCTAATTATTGTGTTACTGTATCTTAATACCTGATTGTATATTCATGACAACTCTAAGACATGTTGAGGGATACTACTAAGTACATGTATTATACATGTTATAGTCTGCTTAGTTTGTCCAACATTCTTTCATTGTAGGCATTTAGTTTTGTCTAGCTTGGTTGGCCAAATTCGTGTTGAGAGATAGTTCTTCTAGTTCTATTGCGAGAGTTAAATTCTACCCATCACACAGTAATATAGTTTTCAAGTGGGGCTTTAGTAAAATCAATTCTTTATTCATCCATTAAAGCAATATGCTATGAGCTGGTAATTTCTTCTCGTGAATTATCTACAATAGTTGCAATAGCTGCATGTCATAGACTTTTGATTTCACGCACATTGTCAGATTACATACACTTCAGCCTGTAGCGGGTAACTTAACAGAAGATTTTTTTCTGCACAGTAAATTCCATCTTCTGTCTCATGTTTGGTTTTCAGGTGTATCCACCAAGCATTTTTTCGGAATTACTGTTCATTCTTCACTCTTCGAGGTTAAAGGAGGAAAATTCAAAAGTGTCTTCGATGAAGCTGTTGGAGTAGTTTTTATTGCTCCTGTTATTTCCAAATATGTTAGTCTTTGCACCCTGCCCAGTTTATCACTTCAAGTATTTGACCTCCTCTGACAGATATATTTCTAGGCTATCTGTCTTGGTCCTTTTGGTGAATACTACTATGGTCGATTTCGTTGGGCTTATGTTCACCCATTCTTCCTCGCACTTTTTCCTCTGTCCGTCTTGTTATAATAATATGCAGGTCATGCTGCATGCATCCCCTCACTATGTTATTATATTTCACCTGGACTTTATATCCATTGTGGTCCAACAGACGCAGTAACTCTTCCATTATAATATTCCATAATTGTGGGGACAAAATTTCCTACTGAGGACAGCCCCTTGCAACTTGTGTATACCAATTCTCCTCTAAGCATACAGTCTATCCACCTGCAGCTTGTATCGTTGGTACCTCTTCTTCTCAATGCTTGATTGATTGATTCTAGGGATTTATTATCTAATGCGCCCTAAATATCCGAGACAGTAACTGAAAGAGGTTCTGTCTTCTGCCAACTTTAGGTTTGGTGAGTCCTTCATTTCAAAGCCCAAAATCTAGACTAATTTTAGGGTTTGTTGTGCAGGCTTCCTAGTACCTAATGTTAATTCAGTTACTCCCCTACATCCGGTACTAAGCTGTTTCTGTTAACATACCTGACCTTTCAACATATTGGTCTCAATTGAGTGATCTGTTAGGCAGTGTCTGTCAAGAATTTTTCTAACATTTCTAATCCAAATAATATGAGACTCTGAATCTACGACTTTCTTTGCATCTGGCATGGTCACCCTTTTTGGAAACCTCCAGTTATGAATTTGACTGAGGTTCATTTGAGAGTACCTTGTATAGTCTGGCACATGTTTGGGTCTGTTTGATCGACTTTCTCCATTGCCTGCACCATGAGTCTCTCTCTTCCGTACTGCTGATTTCCTTGCGATTTTAAAGGCATTTCTGGTTTTTATGTTTCATATGTACCTAGATATTTATTCCACCATGGGACATTTCTCTCAGATTACCGGTTAACAATGGGAGAATGTTCATTGTATTCAAAGGTTCTGTCTTCTGCCAACTCTAGGTTTGGTGAGTCCTTTATTTCAAAGCCCAAAATCTAGATTAATTTTCGGGTCTGTTGTGTAGGCTTCCTAGTTACATTACATCAATTACTTCCCTACATCTCGCCTTCAAAAATATAGCTTTATTATTTACGATTAGGATGTCTGAATTACTTGTCATAAACTATAGTAAATACTCACCTCTTTCTTTGGTGTCAGTACTTTCCAGGTAAGGTGGTGTGCATTGGCATCACAGCTACTTCTTATGTTTATTCCTCTATGGATAATATGTATGTTCTTGGGGTCTCCGATATTCTGTTATAAACTAAATCCACTATGACGTGACTTTTCCCCTGTAATCCCAAGGTTCTTTTGTGAGAGAAAAATCGAACTTTCCATGACATTTACAAGTACTGTAGTCACCTTGCTATGCTGTAGGTTTGTATCTTACCTTCCATTTAAATTTTTTTGCTGAGGTGTACCCACTTTTTCAGTCTCAGGGTAGTATTTTACTTTCCAAGACCTGTCTCAGTATGAGACGCCCGACATGAAGACCAGAACCACGGTCAAATCGACCTTCTCCCAAGGTCGCCCCAGGGCTCCTATGCTTCCCCTGAGCTATTACTTTGTTGTTTCTTCATTAGCACAGGCTATTCATAGAACCTTGGACAAAAAGAAAGTCCTTTAAAACGGAAAGTAAGGGGGCCAACCGAAAAAAGGGTGGTTGAATCAACGCCAAAACAAGGTGGCAAGACCCCCAAGCAAAAGGAACGCCGGCAAAAAACAACAACCCGAACCCAACGGCAACGAATTTTTAAAAAAACCCCCGTAAGGAAAAACCTTAAAGCCCATAACAATCAACCTTGGCCGGGGGCCCAAAAAAATAACGAAATGGCCCCCCCCTCAAACGGTTTTTAAAAAAAAAAAAGGGGAACAACAAACTAATCCTAACCCCAACGGGGCAAGGGAAAGTACGAGTATGTTCAGAAAATAATGTGAATTTTAGTTGTTTGAAAAAAATAATTCATTTATTCATCTACATTAAAGTTGTCGTCTTGTACTTGTGCCAAAGCTTCTTCCAATTCTCGAAACACTTCTCAAACTCGATCTATTCAAGCTATTTCTGTGATTCGGCGATAATTCATCATCATCTCTTTCACTTTTTTAACGGTTTCATAGGTTGTTGATGTTTTGGGACGTCCGAGATGTTTGTCATCTTCACGAACATATTGAACACACTTATACCACTCGTAAACTTTTGTTTTACTCGTAGCAGACTAACCATCGGCCTTTTTTAACATTTCACACAATTTTTCACATTTCTTTCACACTCTTAAAAACATGTCTAACTTCAACAGATGCCACAAAATAATCAATCAAAATGTACTTTATTGTAGAAGATGAAATCTCATTGACAAAGTTTTACTACTCTAAGAAATATAAGATACACAACTTAAAAGATATTGTCGAAGATAAAATCTCATTGTCAAAATGAATACAGCTGAAAATGTATCGTACTTCAGGGGCCTGTATACCAAAATTTAAAAAAAAATCACAATTGGATTCTACATGAAATTTAAAAATTTATATTCTTTTTTGAACATACCTCGGGTTCATAATAGTAAGTAATCCCCACCACCACGACAAGGTGAGGGCACTGTCGAATAGGAATATTTGGGTATTATGAGCTTTATGTATATTCTTGAAAAATTCCAAAATAAGTGCAATTTATTACCATTCATTCAAAGTAGAAATCATGTGAATGATATCTGATTTTTATTCCACAACGAATGTTTGAAATACAAACTGAGTAGAGAAAAGTATCTTCTGTATAATTCAGTGTTCATATAGAAGTATTTGTTTTGAAAGAATTTTTTTCTTTCGTGTAATTCAATGTTTATATGAAAGTAGCTGTTTCAGGAGGACTTTCTTTCAGTTTGTGTTTGAAAGTCACTTCTTTGCATGATATACAATTCATATATAGAGTTACTTATTTTCAAATTGATTACTTCCTTCCTTTCTTTGGAAGATTCCCTCATCCCCTTTTTTTTGTATCAAGATGGAGTAGTAGATAGCCAAAAACTTTCTTTCCCAAAAAGAGATCACTTAATGTTGAAATTTTCATATTTTTTCAATGTATCAGGTCAATAATGATATAAAAACATTATGTGCAGATATTGAGCATCAACATACTACAATACCATAATAAATAATAGATTGAACTTCTACCAAATAAAATGAAGGAAGATGGTGTGAATTCAATGTGTTTCTTGTATTTCCAATTTGGTAAAATTTTCAATTCTGTTATCTGTTTTTCCTTCTCAAATTTGCTTTTTAGGTTAGTTCAACTCAAGAAGATTCCAAGGAGCAGTTTATCACTCAGAAGTTGTCGATAAATTTGAAGCGTCTAAATAATTCACACACCTCACATACAGCATCCGAGAAAATTGAAGATTTGTCCAGTTCTGATGAACACAGTGAAATGGTTCCGAATTTTCCTCCTCCAAATCCTCCGTTGATGCTCAGAATTAATTCACAGGCTCTATCTAGCGCTGTAGGAGCCGATGGTAAGATATAAAATGTAAGAATATCATAAAATGATAATTCGAAAAGATTAATGAGGAATGAAATGATAACATCCTAATGTTCAAATACTTTACTTGATTCTCCATATTTTTCGAACATCACATGACTTTATTTGTGAATTTGAAAACTAAAGCACTTTTCTACATGTTTTTCATGAACCTTGACTTTGTTAAACATTCAAAAGTATAATTAGAACATCTATATTTTTTAAGTAAAGGCTCAATGTAGAGAAAAGATTAGGTGGACAGATAATCTAAGCAAACTGTACACAGTTTGAGACACCATATCACATGACTGCATATTTGCACAATTCAAATTGTGCAAACATTCTCACTTTTCTATTTGGTTGACCTGAGGCTTCAGTTTGTGAGTCAAATTTTAATATTTCGTTTTTAGTGATAATTTCATTTTTATGTTGTGTATTATATATATGTTTATAATATTGATTGTTATTTTAATGAGAACTTGAAAAAATAATTATATTAAAACAAAACAATTGCCTATTGTCCATTCACAATCACACATGTTTTTATTATACATGATCCTCCCCATAATAATATATAATATACGAATGACTAAAACAGATAAAATGCTGTCGAATGCAAACATAACTAGTTGTTGAGGTGATAGTGTGCTTGTGGCTTCAAATTATGTACAAATCATTTGGAATATAGTGATAAAGCATTGAAAAATTCACAATATAATACGATTCCAATAAATGGAAGGATACATTTAATTTTTTTCTAATAGTCACTTTTTATTTCAGGATCTCGTCTCTTAGTAGGTGATGTGGTATGGGGCAAAGTCCACGGTTTTCCATGGTGGCCAGGAAAAATTTTAACAATGACGAATTGTGGATCTCAAGGTCCACAAGCACATGTGGCTTGGTATGGTTCATCAACTTCTTCACTGATGCAGTGTGATCAACTTATCCATTATTTAGATAATTTCAAGGTAAGATCTGAAATTATCTGCAAAGCATTGATTAGTACTCCTCTGAGTATATGTTAATTGAAAATCGATGTGAAGGAAATATAAGCAATAATAATTAAGACACAATATATGGTGCAGGTGTTTTCAGTCGCAAACCCAGGACAGAGATATCAACCTGGCTAGAGTCCTATGCGACTGTATTTCAAGCGGAAATATATGCTATCGAGTTGTGTGCGAAGAGATTGGTAGAATCTAACCTCGAACAGTCAAGCGGCTTTGGAAGCTCTTGGCTCCTACCGAGTAATGTCTATATTGGTAGCAAATTGCCAAAAACGACTCTCCTCAATAGAAATACATAATAAATTGTCTCTGGTCTGAATTCCTGGCCATACTGGCCTGGAAGGTAATGAGGTAAAAGAGAGTGCTGCAAGCAGCTTCATCGGACCAGAACCTGTAATTGGCATCGCTTTAGGCTTTGCCAAACAAACATTGAACACCTGGATGGCAAGAAGATTTATGGACTTCTGGCAAAATCTTCCTGGATTGGCTCACTCCAAGGCGTTCATTCACCCTTCGAAGCTTGAAACCAAACAGTTGTTGGACTATGAATGGGATGAACTATAATGTCTAACAGGCCTTCTCATATGTCACTATCGTCTGAATCATCATATGCAGAGACTCGGACCAGTGTATGTTGCCTCTGTTTGGAAAATAATGAAACAGCAGAGCACATACTTTGTGCCTGCCCCGCTTCGGCCGAATGAAGTTTTCAGAGTTTGACAGAGCTGCACTCCTATCATCTGACCTGAAAGACTACTCACCAACTAATCGGCTTCGTTAATAAGCTGGGTTTATTTGGTCGAGTGTGAATAGGCTTAACCACAATAAACTCATGCCGCTTTCGGTGAAGGGTCGAATAGACCCACTCACTTTTGACGTAACCTAACCTAAGACACAGTATAAATATAATTCATTAGATGATAATTTAGTGAACTAAAAAATTAATGTTGTTCCTTGAGGTTACCTAAATACAAGAGTTACCTATCTTGATTTTAAAATATCTCTTACAGCTTTTGAAACAGTGATTGAGTGTCACTTCAATTAATCACTGTGCTTTTTACTATATTTATTTGATGCAAATGCGTCTTTTCAATACGGAAGCTGCAGGGTATGACAATGAAATTGATATTAAAGTGCAATAGATAGACTTCCCTATTTCAGAACAATGAGTTCATGATTTCATATAGAACTTTCAAAATGGTCTCCAACCAGAGTTAATCAATGAATTTCTTTGAGATATTTTAAACTTGAACCGGCGAATTACTCAAAAACAAATTTGTGATTATTTTTGTGATGTTTTGTAGATAATTTGAGGTTACATTACATTATATTGTTACTACCATATGCACTTTATATGTATAATAAGAATATTTTAATAAATGATTCATTATTGAAATTGAAATGAGCATATTTTTAGGAGAAATAAGTTTTTGGAAAAGATAGATTCTTGGCTTTCTACTTCTTCATCTTTGTACAACTAATGTGGGAAACTACCACTGGAGCTGAAAAAGCAAATGCGCCACTGGAATCAATGAAGTCGCCCCGGAGCGCCAATAAGTTTTTGTTGTTGTTTTATAATTTCATGATTTGTTATTTGGAAGTGTTATCATTATATAATCATTTACATGAACAATGAATTACATGAAAAAAAGTACCTACTTTCAGAACAACTACTTTCATATAAAAAAAAAATTTTTTTTAATTGGTTTGTACACTTAATATGGAACTGTATCAGATGCATAGGAATGCTACACAATATAATATAGGTTTTCCACATTTTCACATGTTTTGTATGAAGATGGAGAAGTAGAAAACCAAAAACCTTTCCAAATTCATTATTATTGTGCAAGAGCAAATTGACACTCTTACTCAGTCTTTTCTGATAACTAAGTGGAAAGATTCCAATTGTCCTCTAACCTTAAATTGACTTTTTTTCATTCAAAATATTAAGCTTCAACATTTTATAAAGAGTCCAAAACTGTATTTTCGAGTAATAAATTCTGCTATAAATCTAACTAACGAAATAAATAAAACTTATAGTGTAAACATGAAAATCACCACAATGTACCATTTTCAACCATCTGCATATAATCTAGTATTTTTTGTGCTTTCTAGTCATTATTTAATTATTAAATGGGGATTTTAATATTCATCTTGATAAAACAAAACCAAAGAGTTGAAAATATTAAATAAAATGTTGGAATCTTTTCAATCGGAAATAACAACAAATAAATCAACATGTGTTTTCACAAATATGAATGAAAAAACCGCCCACTAGTAACATTGACTATGTAATCACAAATATACCCCCTTTATATTATAATTGTGACGTCATAAACCATAACTTTAGCGATCACTTTTCACAGGTTTTTCCACTATTAAACGTTAGCCAGTCCAAAACAAAAGATGAATTATCAAATTCAAACTATGAACCTCGTGACTTGCGAACAAGTAACTTAAAGAATTTGCTCACATACCTAAGTAGACTTGACTGGTACACTTTTTACTCATATTAAATGGTGCCTCGATGTCAGTTGTATGTTAGTAAAAATGACTGAAATTACGCTCCAAAAACAAATGGTGTACCCCAGAACTAGCTCAGATAAAAAATAACTTGCAATACTTGCATTGGTACATGTCAGTGTCAAACTGTGGTGAAACAAAAAGGGTATACTTACAAGAAAAAAGTGAGTATAAAATAAGGCTAATTGAAGAAAAATGTCAGCATACAAACAATAGAATAAACTCAGCTTTAAATAAAATCAAAGAAACATGAAAAATTATCAATAAAAACTTAAATAGAAACAATAAAGATAAAGAAATAATTACTCTGAAGTGTGATGAACGTTTGATAATGAAAAATAAGTAGCTGATGAATTTGCAGAGTATTTTTCGAATATATGCAAAAGTAAAACAGATTCCCTTTTTGGCGATAACTCTTCAAATCACATGTACCGTTTGTATTTGTTATCCAAACACTATATTTGTCCCTTACCTAACAGAGACCGATATATCAAACATTATAAAATCGCTAAAAAATAAAGCATGCTCTGGGATTGATGAATTGTCACCGAAGCTGCAGAAAATTATGCATAACTATATTATCTCCCCTCTAACAAAACTAATCAATTCATCTCTAGCCAAAGGAGAATTTTCTAACCTGATGAAAGGTGCTTGAACGCTGTGTGTGTACAATGTAGTAATCAGTTTTGTAGAATGCTATGACCTGTTAACGCTTTCTCAACATGATTTTAGGAAAAATAAATTAACGGAAAACGGAAATTATGTTTACACTTCTTTAGATAAAGGAAAATATGGTGTATCTCTTATGTTCGATTTTTCAAAAACTTTTGACTGCCTAGACATAAAATTCATGTTTGAAAAACTTACTTATCTGGGTATAAGAAGTATCTTGTTAAAATGGTTTGAGTCTTGTCTTTTCCACAGAAGTATTCTTATCAAAGTAGAACAACTATCGAATGAATGCACTATTTCTCTTGGATCTGCCTTGGGACCCTTGATTTTTCTCCTTTTTGTAAATGATATTCCCAATCATATTACCGCGGGACAATTAACAATGTTTGCCGATGACACACTAGTTACAGTCTGTGGAGAAACCCTTGAAGAATTGTACAGTAATATTGAAAAATCTCTCAATGAAATTAAACAATGGTGACAAAAAAATCGACTCATTTTAAATACTGATAATACAACCTGCATACATTTCCATATGAGAAAGCCAGTTACAAAAACCTTTTATAAAAATCTATTTAGTGACAGCATCAAGTTAATTGGGACATGGCTTAACTCAGACCTTAGTTTCTCCTCCCACATAGACTTTGTAAACAACTCAATAAAGCATACTATGCAATTTTTCAGATGAAACCAATTTTGTACCAAAAGGGATTGTTGAATTTATACTATGCGTTTGTTTGTATATAGCCATATATCAAATAATATTGCAACATGAGGACTGGCTACTGAATGTAAAAGAGTTTTAGATTATTTAGACTATTAGATTATTTTTTATTTGGAATACAGAAAGTCATGTAGGACTGTTTTCAAACACTACTCTATTCTGCCCTTCCATTCTATTATCATTTTAAAATGTGTAACTATTTTGAAAAGTAACATTTCTGACTTCAACGTGTTAGGAAGTCATCATAAACCATCTCAATACTTCCCGTAATCGGCAAAATATTTAAAGCTGCTCTGAAATCGCAGTTAGTAGAACACCTTGAGGTACATAACATCAATCCAGATTACCAGGTTCGGGTCCAGATTCCAGGATTTCAGAAACTTGTCCACACAGGAAAAGTGTTCTGCGATCTTCAGGCGGCATTCGATTGTGTGTCACATGAAATCCTGCTTGAAAAATTGGAGTGGTTCAAATTTGAGGAAAACTCAATTAACTTCGTTAGATCATATCTATTGGAACATAGACAATACGTTTTTTTGAATAATAATAAGGCATCTGATACCAAAGAAATAAAAAACGGAGTCTACCAATGTTCGGTTTTAGGACCAATTCTATACTTGATTTATGTGATTGATTTCAAGACTGAAGATGACTCTGAGATTACGCAATTTGCTGAAGACACATCATTAATGCTCCAAAATACAAAGTACGAGGCTATAGTTGAAGAAATGAAAGTAGCAGAGTCGAATACTAATAGATGGCTGACAATAATGAATTAAAATTGAATACTAATAAAACGCAACATTAGTTTTTTACACACAAACAACTGCCTATAGACCAAAATGAATTGATTAAATTTCTTGGATTCCAAATGGATCCAAAGCTCTCCTGGGAAAAACATGTAGATTTTATTTGCAGAAAATTGGCAACCAGCATTTATATTATAAGAAGTTTAATGGGCATCTCATCTATTGAAACCATTATCACTGCTTATCATTCACTTTTCATGGTCCCATATGTCTTATGGTCTAGTATTCTGGGGGCACTCGCCTCATGCAAAAAGAGTGTTGGGACTGCTAAGAAAAGTTTTGCGAATTATCTTCAAACTGGGTTATCAAGAAGACGTTAAAACAACATTTATTAGTAATAAAATGTTTCGTGTATAAATTATGTAAAAAAAATCCCCACTTATATCTAAATCAAAACAATTTTCATTCACATAATACTAGACAACAGATTAAAATTGAATTCACAAGACTAAATCACTGCCGTTTTTCGAAAAATTATTATGGTCCTATTTCATTTAATAAACTACCAGAAGATATAAAAAACTTAGATACAGCCTCGTTTACAAATTATATGAAAAATATCTGCCTAGAAAACGCTTTTTATAGTATCGACGAATTCTTATCATTTGACTTCAACACCAACTAATATTTTGAATTTACAATCTACGTAGACAGTGATATTTATATTGAAATTGTTCACATCTCATTTCCTTATTTGTTTATTGGGTAAATTATCGTAGAAATCATGATAGCCACTCTCCATATTTTTGTTTTTAGTCTATTTTTATGGAGGTGAGACAAATTATGATTTTCAGTTGCTTGGATGGTTCGCAAGGTCAGTCTTATTGGTAGTGCTTGCCATTCTGCTACTGAGTGACGAAGCTTACAAAAAACTCCTTCTCTTGAATACTTGAAAGCTTTGACGTCATTTACCATTGGTGCACCCGTGCCTCTACCAGGTCGGATCGATTTAAAATAGTTTAGTCCATCGTATTTCTTGAAAAACGTGTGGCCCAAGTATTTGACTTTGAACGGACTTTTTTGGCACGCTGTTTTGCAAACGTATACATAATCTGCTGGTATATTAATTTTTTTGTTTTGAATTCTCCTTTCAATGACACCTCCATTTGTGTGTGGCCTTTTTGNGTGCCTAGAAGATGACAGTACTACCAACTGTCGAAAGCGCTCGCAGATTATATCAGTCTATTTATTTTAATTGTCTGAATAACCATATGACTTTATTCTACAGATTAGGCATAACAAAAAGAAAAAAGGGCCTTACAAAGAAGCCATCAAACAAGCCACTACAGAAGCTAAAGAGAATGCTGAGAATAGAGTAAGACAACCATTGGGAAATTCTCCATCTCACAATATTATTCAAGTTGTTCCATCCACTCTAGCATCGCCAAGAGAAATTGATGTAGTGTCATAATAATTTGTAGTCCTTAGAATTCAGTTTTTATATTTATAAAACTGTTTTGTTTTCAGTACTGTACGGATGGATTAATTTTTCTGTTGTTTTGAAGTGTAATATATTACATATCCCAATCCCGTTGTTGAACCATTATGGAAATTATATTTTCAAAGCAGATTTGTGTTATGAGTGAGTATGGTTTTTAGTTCAAAGATAAATATTTTGGTAACTGTGCAATGTTCTATTGATTACTTTACCTAACTTTTCTTCTTACTGAGCTAATATACTTTATGGACCACTTTGAATAATTGAAATGGAATGTGGTATGTAAAAAAAGTGTCTTGAGGCATATTTTGGAACATCTAGTTCAGTTGAATATGCATTATCAAAGTGTTTACTATAAAGTTAGAATTTTTGGATGTTATGCTAATGAGTATTCAAAGTACAAGCTTTTTCTCACTTGATTTGTAGATGTTGAGAATTGCTCTTCTCACATACAAGCATTGAGAAATATTTTTCTCTTGATTTCCTTTCATTTATGTATCATCTTTTAATTAAGAGTATCTACTTTCAAATTGAGCATTAAAATTTGAAAATAACTTGTATGAATCATTCGCAGGTTTTTTGTAGGTAGTAGCTAGTTTATAAATTATATTTGAAAATATTAATTTCCTCTCCTTCTAAAATTTTGAAGCCATTTTCCTTTCATGTATATTTTTGTGAATATGCTGCTTTATATAAAAATTAATAAACTGTATACAGGGTGATGAAACCTCCTTGACAGCTTACAGAAGCAATGTCACTATTTTTCAAAATATGACTAAGATTTTTGGCAAAAATAATTGTAAATATTCACTGATAGTTTTAAGACTTTTTGAAGGCTTCAATAACCTTCTTTTGCTGTGTGTATATTTTTTAAGTTAGTTATTCTTGGAGTATCGTGTTTTATTTATGAGAACAATTATTCAAAGCGATTTAGCTAAAAACTGTTTTTTCGTGCAGTGTTCATATAATACACAGCTCATACCATTCATGAATTGCTCAGCTTTTCTAGTGGTTGGAGCAATTTAACTGCTTCTTGTGATTCACTTTTTACAGGTTATTATTTTTTGTAAAAATGATGGTAGTTCCATTATTTGTATTTAACTTAAGAATTTTATAATGTACATTTGTGATAATTTTTATATGCTACTTTTTATTCAAGAATCCTGAAAACCATTCACTGGTTTTTCTCTAGGTATCTGTTATACAATAAAATATCTGTGATTTTATTCCTTTGGATAAGTATAGTTGTAGTAATAAAAGGAACATTTCATAGAAACTGTTTTATTTTCTAAGTATGTAGTTATTTTAATACACATAAAAAATGGAAACTATAGTGAATGCATGGGCTGCTGCTCTTGGGGTGCAGTACTATTCTCTTATCTGTGGTCATTTCTGATGTCGACAGATGAGAAAGTTAGTCTTTAATAACCTCCAAAGAACACTGGACGTTGTTCACACTTGATGCCATAGAGAGCAGATGTCTGTAAACTCCAGCTAAACTGAAATGATTCCCTTCAATAGAAAGAAAAATCTGTTAGTTAATTAGATAAATCCCAAATATTTCAAGACGCCCTAAAAATAATAGAATATTTGAATCCGAAAAAAGCTTCTGGGTATGATATTATTGAACAAGCAGTCAATATTGAAGTCTCACCAATTTTATTTCTTAGAACGATTGAATCATAAAATATATTTTATATAGTAATCAGTATGGTTTTCGCAAGTCTAGAGATCCAGAAGCAGCACCAACGGATGTCATTTCAAAAATTCGAACTGAAATTGATGACACTATAAAAAGTGGCCTCTGTCTCATCTAGGTTTGTGAAAAGCATTTTTTGTACATCATGATATATTGATCCAAAACTAAACAATTTTGGTATAAGAGGGAATATCCTTAATTGGTTTGTAAATTATATATATAGGCGGGTATGATATTAGTACTTGTTTAATTTTAGATTATTGTAATCTTTCATAAGAAGAATTCTTAAACCTCCCCCTAACCCTCAACCCCTATTATTAATGTTTTATTCAGCTCAAATCAGAAAAATCATACTTGTTCATGTATACCTCTCCTTTTCAAAGAAAGGGAAAGTGGATGACGCGATTTTTTTTTTCGTATGAGGTGAAGGACCTCTTTTATAGAGAGGTAATGAGTCTCAAAACACAAGACCTACTGTGAGACTCCACTTATTTTCCCATGTCAGGGCTACTCACTAACTACACTGATTCTTCGATGTCAGGGCTACTCACTAACTACACTGATTCTTCGATGTCAGGGCTACTCACTAAACCTCCGCCTCTATGTCACATTCCTCAATCCAGTACTTCCTTGCCATCAGAGACTTTGTACAAATTCAAATATCAACAATTTGAATTTGCGGTGGTGTTTCATTTGGATCAATTTGTGCAGGCCTGTTGGCGGCATCCATTACTACATTTAATAGCGTCGTTCATGGGTATCTGACAAGAACCATACCACACTTGCCACATGTGCACAAGAACCCAAATTTCTTGCCCCGTTTTGCAAGTGCAGTAATATCCTAAAATTGGCGCATTCTCTACTTTATCTTGCATGTTGGGGTTAAAAGCAATCCAAAGCTGATGTTTAGAGAGCCTGGTATATCTTGAGTAAATGCGCATTCTAATAAACCCATTCTCATTTAAATGTTCATCCATCATCACCCTGAAAAACATAAACTGCCCAACATTACACACTTTAATATCCGAAATGCTAACAAAAACTTTGATGAGTTACTGGCACTCATTGAAAAATATTATTTAACTTGTGACATTTTTGATTTAAGTGAATGCTATAAAAATGTATCTTTAAATAACCTCAATATACCAGGTTATTAACAATACATAATGATGGTGATTTTAAGAGAAACGATGGTGTTTTGATTTTAATCAAATCAAACCTTAACTACAATATTTCCAATCACAAATTGACTATATATGTGATGTCTCATTAAGTATCATAAATTTAATAATGCATCCTGTAAAATAATTGCCCTATACAGGCCTAACCCAACTAACCTGGTCTCGTTTATTGATGAACTTGATTTAAATCTGGACTAAAACTAGACCAACAAAATAGATGTTCTTATTGGTGATATCAGTATTATTTTATTAAATGAAAACAATATTTATGTAAATAAATATCTTTCTGTACTAGCTAAATATGAATTTGTGCCATACATAGTGAATCCTACAAGAATTACTTCTGAAACTAAATCATACATTTATCACTTTTTTTCTCAAAAACCTAACAATAACAAAAATTTATTCATAATTCATATATTCTTGAAGATCACTTCTTAAATACATTTAATAATGCTATTGATAACTCCAAAAGTATATAATTATGGTACAAAAAACATAAAAATAAAACCACAGATAACTGAAGGCTTAATTATATCAATTAGAAATAGGGACAAATTAAAGAATTAACTAAACAAACACCTCACATACGAATTGTAATAAGAATATTAAACTTATAGAAATAAACTACTGAATGAAAATTATTTGAAACAAATTGAAAACAGTAAAAATAATCTAAAAAAACTTATCAAATAATATCAGAAGCTACCAATGAAGAAAACAATAACAAAACTATCTTACAGATTGCTGATGAAAATGGTNACAATTACAAAGATTTCACAAATTGAGTTGGTATACTTGGAGACTAGCTGTAAATCAAATTATCTAAAAAAATAATTCGTTCAGGTCAGTCTCAACTTACCTTTACTATAGGTTAATGCACTGACACCTATCAGAAAACAATTACTCTCCTGGCTAATACCACGAAGGGCGTTAGATTATATCCAACAGGTGTCAGTATAAGATTCTCCACTGAAGTTGTTCCTGCATATGCTGTTGGTGATACAACTGCCGCAATAGATTTTCAATTGTTGGAACACACTTGCAGACCAGTTTCAGGCTGTTTGGGCACTCGTCAGTGCTGGTAGTGTCTATCATCAACATAAAGTCGATGATTTCCGATAATTGAAAATCGAATTCCAGATATTTTGGATATACAAGGACCATACTTTTCAGACAGCCGTAACAATGATGAACAAGTACTAAAAGGAATAAATATGAAAGAGATCACGCAGGCATGTAGCTACCATTAAAACCGATTTCAAGACATGTCTCTGTGTACTATACAACTGCCTCAAAACTCTAAAATTACTGCACTTCAGAATATAGGCATAAGTAGAATCAGTGTAAACAATTGCTTTCTGAACATTAGGCTCAGGGTTATACAGTCTATTGGCAAAATATGGCATGTGATTTTGCATATACCTACTGTTCTCTTGTTATTGAGTTAAAACCAATATTCTGATTGATAAATCTTAGCATTGATTAAAGCTTTTCTCCCTAAGGATATGATAATTAAAACTGATTAATTTCTATCCACAATAACATGAACTGCATCATATCAAAAATTCAGAAAAATCCAAGTGCTATTTCCCTAATTCAAGCATATTCAAACATCCGACGATGCATTGGGTGGGGGGAAGATGAGACGGGGGAAATTTTTTTTTATAAAAGAGCATAATCATAGGCAACATTATCTACAATGAAACATGTAAAAATGTCGTTCCCGGTTTCGAAAATGAATAGTCTGTTCTGAGACTAAAAAAAATCCACCCAGACCCAAATTCCATAAGGATTTTGTGGGGGGTCATTACCTCTGAATAAGGGATCAGTTGAATTATTTCCTGATGATACAACAATTATATAGATACTCTTCGGATAACTTCAACAAAATTCATAATGAAATAAAAACAATTTCAGGTTGCTACAAGAAAATAAATTAATTTCAAATTTCCAAAAATGTTCTTAAATGACTATTTCTAAGAGATTATTGAACAATCGTGCCAATCCAATAATTATTAATAAAAATTCAACAATTTATACCAATTCTATTAAATTCCTTGGATTATATAATGATGAAAAATTATCGTGGAAAAACATATTAAAATTATTCGAAAAAACGGTAGAATCCACATTGGTATTCTATTCGAAATCAGGAACTATATCCCTCTTAAATTTTTGAAAAATATCACTAGATAAAGTTAATGTGTTAGCGAAACATTGTGATATACCTATATTTTTCAAATAAAATTTGTGAAGATCAAATCAGTCTAGTTTATGAAAATATTTCAGTTTTATACACTCACAATGTAGTATATCTAACTCCATATTTTTCTGAAGGGAAATGGTAGCAGGTAATAGGCATACTAAATTGTGTATATCTCCAGTGGCACAAAACAGTCATAAGTGAAGTGTAGCAGACTACTGACTGACACTGAAACTCACAGCTTTTTGGAAATGACCTCCGACTTATGGTCTACAACTATCAACTGCGAACTACCTTACACAGACTGGATCCTCCGGGAGAAGGAAATATTAAGCTTATTGGTTAACAGATGGATTATGGTTCTAGTGCAGGTGTATATAGTTGTAAACCCAGGACAGAGATATCAACCTGTCTAGAGATCAATGCGATCATATTTCAAAGGAAATCTACGCAGTTGATCTTTGTGTGGATATATTGGCAAAAACTAACACACATAAATCAATGAAAATAGCATTCGACAGACAAGTGGCCTTGGCAGCTCTCATAAATTCCACATACCTATCACCAGTTCGACTGGTATTATAAAAAAATGGATCAATTCTTGAACCGATTAGGACGCATAATAACTAAAACGACATAATGATGGTTTTGTGTTATACGTTTAAGAAACAGTATTCATCATCAGACTAAAAATTAATGAAAGTTATATAGTCTTTGGTGACGAAAGTTAAGATACCAATGACAGAATGAAAATCCTATTGAGCATCATAATAATTCAAAATATCTTGCTAAATTACTAAAAAGTCTTATAGATCAAATCACTATATTTGAGCTTGTATATTCAATAAAACTTTCATGCCAAAACATTCTTTATTTTTAATAACACAAGATAAAATAGCCAAAACTTTTTGTGAATAAACTATGAATATTAATGCTATAGATTCTTAGATTGGTCAGTTGTTTGAGAATAGTGCAGAAATTCAAGAGTATCTGCACACGGATTTTCAAATCAAGCAAATCAATTATTTTGTCCTTTTGTATTGGTGTTGTCTCAGAAATTTGGTTGTTACAATGTTTTTTTTTATATGTATCTAATATGTCTGATAGTTTTTGCAATAATAATACCTATTATCAATACCAAGAAACTACTTTTCGAGCCCTGAAGAAGAATTTAATTAAATTCGAAACGTCGGCAAGAAAACAATTGTTTTTACCCAACCAACCTTTCTTCAGATTAATAACACTGCCTATGATAATAATTATAGAATTTTCACGATAAATTTTATTTAAGATTTTCGCTACATGGTAGCTTCATCAGTTAGACTGGTATGTACCAGCCAACAGGGCAATGATTGCACCCACCAACCAGCAGTCGCTCTTCTGTCTCAGGAAACCTGAAACCATTCGGACTGCAATGTTCAGCTTTGGAAATCATAAATATTCTCTAAGACAGCCATAAGAATAAGGTTAATGAGCTGGTCAACAAAATTAATTCCATTCCAGTGGCTGATTCCTATCAAAATCCAGCTGCAGCCATGGAAACCATGATCTACGAACTAGAAGAACGTCGCAAAAGAGCGATATTCCAGAATCTAATGCTGCCACCATTAGTGATAAAATAAATCATGATACCAATAAAATTAAAGAAATCATTGTCAGTATGGGCTTGGATACTGAAGTGAAGAAAGTAANATATTGAGATTGTCAAATGTTCAAGGTGCAAGATTCCCATCTTGATGCCCTCAAAAATCTATACATTCAGTCTTATCGATGTTCAATTTTGTGAGTAAAAACTAACTATTCAAAATTAAGTTTACTTTATGTAGAAATGAATATTTTATTTTCATAATTAATATTTATAGATGAATAACTAATAACAAAAAAAAAGCAATGGAGACATTATAAACGCTTAAATTTTTGTTATTGAAGTATATAAAACAAACATTGAAATACTGAAGAAGGATGAAGAAGGCTATAAGTTCCCTCATTCACATTTTTTTTTCACTTGACAACTATGAGTTAATATTGTTCTTTTATATAATATGTTCAAAAACTCCTTGTCTGATCAACTCTTCACATTCACTCCGAGGCAGATAGTGTCTACTATCTTTTTTCAATAGTACCACAGATCCATCATTCAGTTCAAATCTTCCATAATCTACCAAGCATCGCACTTCTACATAAAGGGCTTTTGGTGGCTTCAAGTCAACAGACAGATTAACTCCCTCTTCGCCAATAGACCTCATATATGCTGCAAGAGATCTAGAATACTTTGAGAACCAATCTATTTCAGATGCACTTAGATTTGCCTTGATCTCGGTGGGTAAAATACTTCCGAATTCCCACCGCATTGTGCGTAAACATTTTAGTCTGTTATAGTGATATGCCATTAAGCAACGCACATTCCTTTTTACAGCTGCATGTCGAATTTTGATGGTAGGTACTACTGATCCCCCCACCGATGATTGGTCAGCAGATGTCATTCTACATAAAAAAATTAATTATGTCTATTTCCAAGTCAAACAATGACTTACTTACGCATCATGCTCATTTTCTTCTACAAGCTGTTTTACTTCATTACAAACAGCATTCACCAAATCTGTCTGAAAAAATATGAAGAAAATACAAATTTCAGAAATGATTTATTCAAAGAAATATAAAGTGTATATTTTAATTAAAAAACCCAACTAGGTTGTGTATTTGTGGAAGGAACTGAGTGAAGCTAATAAAATAAACATATTCCAAAACAGACTGGACAATGAACTTCAACATCTGGAGAGAATTATATTATATTTTCCATGAAAAAGTATAGCTGTGAAAGCTTATGTTCCTTAACTACATATTTTATGATTTTACATTTGTGATAAACTATATCAAACTCTAAAAAAGAGAAATCACTTCAAATCAATTGAAAATAAATGACAAATTTTATTAATATTCCATCTCAGTTAGGTTGGATTTGACAATTTTGTTTTCTGTGAGTAAAAAAATGCAATTAAAACATACATTATAAGGTGGTAGGTTGTCTTCACAACGCGCTAGTTCTTTCACTAAACTGTATGCCTTTTCTCCATACATTTTTTTCATTAAAAGAAAAAATCAGCAGTTATAATAATTTATAAGAACTATATCATACGATTTGGTTTAAAATTCAGCTCGGTTGATAGGCCATAGGTCCACAAATATCGTTCTTTTGCATTGGGAAGCATAATCTTTTTGGTCACAGTAGTATTACAGTACTATTATCTAATTTGCCATAGCAGCCACAGCATAACCTATGCCGTGACTCTGCTTCCTTTGGTCTCAGATATTTGGCGGGAATCATTTTTCCTTAAAAAAAACAAAACCCTTCTTCTTTTTTTTACGATCTTTGCTTCCCTTACAGTGCAATAGACCAGTCTCCTTCTATTGCATGACGGATGTTATGTTGTTGTCGTAGACGCTTAGTCCATGTGAATTGAATCTTTGTTGCGTATTTGGAGCTTTTGGCTTGAGTATCTACGTTCAATTTCCAATTGCTGATAGGTATTCACCAGACAAAAAATACATTCAAGGGTGTTCGAAAGTAGCTGACAACTTTTCACGGGGAATTTTATTAGTTCGGACTTCCATTGTCTAATATAATTCTTCTATGATTCGAAATCTATGAAAGAGGGAATAAAATTAGAATGAATAACTGAAATATCAATTATATTATACAATAAAAGATTCCATTTGGCTGGGATTTAATCAAATAAGTGAATGAATGTCATAACGATGTCATCGATGACATAAGTAGATCAAACTCATTCCGTGACATAAAAATCGTAATTAATGAATGAATTGTGTAATTTTTTCATAATATCCAGATTGGTACTGAAGAGTCCCAAGACAGGTGTCTTACGGCGAAACAACGATGTCTACCAGTGAGGATGACAGCGTTCCATGTTAGTAAAATTGTTACCCTCCATTTAATATATTGTGTAGAAATCCTGTGAATGATATCTGATTTGATTTCATTACGAATGTCTGGAATATTAACTAAGTAGAGAAAAGTGTTTTTTCTATGATTCAGTGTTCATATAAAAGTATTTGTTTCAATGTTTATATGACAGTAGCTGTTTCAGGAGGGGTTTTTCTTCCAGTTTGTGTCTGAAAGTTTTTTTTTTGCATGGCCTACACATCTATGTATGGAGTTACTTATTTTAAAATTGATTTCTTCCTTTCATTCATGTTCTATGTTTGCTGTGTTTCACTCTAAGCAAACATAGAACTAGTAACGAGACTTGGGGACAAGGGAGGTTACGACCTCGTCCTCGAGTCATGTAAGTACAAATATAAGTGATTCTTGAGAATGGCTTCAAAGCAGGAGCCAAAACGTCGAAACCATGAAAATTACAGACGCGGTTCAACTCGGACAACAGTATATCAAATTACTGACCGCGGAAACCTATTTCTGTTTGTGAGGTTGCAGTCTATTTTGAAGATGTTTATTTCCACCTTCAGAACTTACTGAAAAATTGTAAACAAATTAACAATACAATTACAATTTCATAGATTGGATGAGACTACTTACTATCGTGAGTTTGAGAGAAGCTAGTTCCTTCATAACAATCAAAACTTGTCGGTTATCTTATATGCAAAACAAACAGTATAAATGAAGATTTATTTTAGATTTCAATCTACATTTAATTGTAGATTAAAATCTTAATTGTACAACGACAGCATGCTTCAATTGAAATTGCTGACTAGTTATCGGCGTTAAAATATGTGTAAAATATCATTATTTCAAGACATACCTTGCTATTTGGGAAACACCAACTTATATTTTTCAGTTTGTGGAATTATCATTTAAAAAAAAAGTCGTTTTGTACCTTTAATTAACTACTACTTCGCAATACAATATTTATATTTTCAATATTTATCATTAACAGTATAAAAAGAATCAATCAAATGTAGTAGAACAAAAAGTTTTTACAGACAACTTGTTTTATTTCTCATTTAGTCAGAAATAACATAACATAGTAATGAAATATCACTCAATGAATCTAATGAAAGAAAAATATAATGGTAGTTTATTTAAAATATACTTCTGTATTGGCAACAAAATTTATAAATTTATTGCGTATCATTCATTGGCAACTGACCATTGTGACGCCACTGTCTCCTGCATTTCGATAATAGAGGATAGTTAGATGTTCCAGTCAAAACAACACTTCATATTTCGTACACGCACGGTATAACCACAGTATTTTGTATAAAATACTGTGGTATAACGCTGAACGGCTGAAGTGTAGCTAAAACGAGTTGTCACAAGTAGGTATAATGCTAAATTTAGCATTATACTTGTGGCGTTGTCGTTTTTCTTTCCTAGTGTCATAGAATTTTGATATACATTTTAGATTTGTAATGCAGTCAAACACGGTGAATCAATTTATTTCAATAACCCTTTGAGAAGAATTCAACCGAATTTATTTCCCGCCCGCCAGAACCGTGATAACATGATTACAGACTTTAATTTTGTTTTTTTTTATGTTTATTGATTCCTAATTTTTGTTCTTTTTCATGTTTATTGATTCCTAATTTTTGTTCTTTTTACTCATCGGCGGTAGGCTTTGTATTTTTCATTTTATCTATACATTCTATAATGAAGCAGTCGACCTTGCATCATGAGAATTGCGTCACAATTTGGCAAGCAAAATATTTCATCGGAGTTTTTGAAGCTTGTCATCTGTTGGAATTCGTCCTTGTATTTTTATTTTTTGTTCCCATTTCAACCCTACCGAGGTCAGAAATCAGAATAAGAAAAGTGATATGTAGTTGAATGTTCACAAGTCAGCAAACAAAGATAATGCCATTTTAATTTTCTTTGGACAGCAATAAACTAGCGTTTTTCATATAGGTATGCCAAATATGATGGAATATCATCACACAGCGTATTACTTATATCATTATTTGAATTTAATGTGTGGTTGTGCTGGGCGGAAGGGGAATCAATGTTCTCCTAAAAACAAATTATTTTGAATGAGGAGTATAGATAATACATTAATCAAATTTATCAGAATATTCAAAAAAAGTATGCACTCTGTACTTTGGTTCTCAGTCACTATATCATAAAATGTTTTCAAAAACAATTTTCATTACCATCCATAAACTGACAATCATTGAATAATTACACATGTAAGGTATTGAGTTCATATTTATTATTTATTTTCAGTTGAAGATGACAGACAGGATTGATATTGACCAACCACTATGGAATCAGAATACATTTATTGGAAGGTTCAAGCATTTCCTCTGGGTTACTGACCCAAGAACATGTGTTGTTAGTGAAGACACCCTAGATAAAGCAAAAGTTCTCGTAGAAAAATATAGAAAAGGACAGGAACCTCCAGGCACAACGTTGGAACAAATAATTTACGCTAAGAAACTGTATGAGAGTGCATTCCATCCAGATACTGGAGATAAGCAAAATGTATTTGGTCGTATGTCTTTTCAAGTTCCTGGGGGTATGGCCATCACAGGAGCTATGCTACAGTGGTATAGGTGAGTGTCACTACTGAAAAGATACTTCATATGAAACATTTATACTTCTGAAAGAATATATAGGTTTATTCACCAATTAATATTGCTGGTCATATGAGGGCTCCTAGTGAAAATTAAATAAAAATGAATAAGTATCATTCGATGTGCTATTACTTTAATTTTTGAAACCTTCCAACAGTCTTGCCAAATTTTTTGTCCCTGTCTGTTATATAATGACTCAATTATCATCCATTGATTTTTTATTGCAAAAGTTTTTCATGATTTGGTTTCAGTTTAGGCTTTTATGCTCGGTTATATAACAGCATTAGTTGGGACAGCATTAGACTGAAATGTTCATTTTTTATATAATTGAATGCACAAAAATTGAAATGAATTATTTCAACATTCACTCACAAAAAATTACATTATTTGAAATATTGAGAACTGAATTCTATCATTTTTGTAAACAAAACTAGTGAATGCAGTTTCAGATTGTGATTACACTTCATGATTATTTTCAAAGCAGGTTTGTCAAATAGATAATATATTTTGCATATTATGTTTGTCTTATTTTTCTTCTAATCTCATTATGCACATTTGCTTTGAAAACATTCATCATTCCCTCTATTCCAAATGTTTTTCAGGTCCACTTCTTTGTTTTTAAAAAAATATCTGTTTAAAACCTGTTTTTCTCTTAACCAGCTGTTGCCCCCTTACAAACTACAACCCTCAGAAGCAGAAATATGTGAGTTAGGAATTAACTGAAGGTTTTACCTTTTATAGTGCGATTCCTATTACTTTTTATTATTACTTGTAGCAAAAATATCTTCTCTTTGTTTCTGATAATAACTTTTATGTCAAATCAATTATTAATGAGTTTTTGGAGCAGAAAATCAGTGTGTTCGAAGAAATAACTCTTTAGATGAATTATTTGATATGAGAAAAATGAAAGAACCAAGTAACCCTGGGCTCACAGACCTGTTTTCGTTGCAGTTACTTCACTACGAACAAACCTCCTGAAAAAATGTTTCTTAAATGTATGTAATTGAATTTGGCATTATTTGATAAATAAAATCCATGATGAGTCAGTGAGATTTTCACTGCACAGTTTATAAAATGGCAACTCATGTTGTATCATGTGTATCGAACATCTGAAGTATATTGAAACATGTATTGCAGTTTTGCACACTATATAGTGAAAAACTCTGAATAACCTATTACTCAAAAATATGGAATGTTGTCAGGAATCGTTAGAAAGATACTAATCACAAGATCTTAGTATCATTTCAAGTTTCAATAAAATCTAAATACAGTGTCAACTCGATCTGATAGACTGTACTCAACTACTGAAATTAAGTACACTACTTGTATAAATAGCGAAACATGGTCGAAGAGGCCTAGGTGCTTGATAGAATTTTCAGAGCTATTACCTGAGACTATATAGAGAGACATCAGAATTCAAAAACACAAAAAAAATCAATCAAAAAGAAGAGGAAATTGGTATCAATAAAATCTGGTTACCTGCACTTAGTTACGATCTTAAAAGGGGTCACTTAATCAGACCAACAGAAACGAAGCACCGCTCTCTATCAATAAAACAAATCCGGACACTCCAACCTTGAATGTAGGATCTGATGTGAGACCAACCTGGGCACTTTGTCCTTTGCCTCATCAGCAGAGTATGATCAACAAACCAGGAAAATAGGTTGGACACAAACCTGGAATAGTTAGGGAAACTATTTTAATTATTAAGTTAATGTGATTTTCTGTAATTTTTTTCCTTCTGGCAATATTGAATTTAGTCATAAACATTTGTTTCATTTTCAAAGATTACCCAGATTGAAGATTCAATTTTTCATGTTTAACCAGCTGCAATATGTTTCCAAAGTAATTTTTCGTGACTCGATTAGTATTAAATACTCCTGCCATCAATAAGACTATGGAAATAATCGACAGGTACATATGTACTGAGAAAAAGAACATTTCAAGCTGAAATTCAAAACATCCACTTGTTTCAAAGTTTCTACACAGTAGGATCTGGCAAATCTCTGCCGGAAAATTACTTTCCTGTTTAATACCATAACAGACATTGGATTATATCTGATAGATATTTGTGCAAAGAAATTCTTGCAGATGCCTCCCATTCGTCCAGCAGCAGGACCTCAATTAAATCAATCAGTGGAGTACCAAATAGCAGTGTTGCCTTAGTTATATCTGTTTTGCAATGATAATATTGTGAAACTGGTCTGTAGGTGAACATTTGATTTTCAACTAGATTGTGCGTCTGGATGAAGAAATGTCTTTCGCATGTAATCAAACGTCTGTCATATTATTTACCAGGAAAGTAATTTTTTCTACTATGTAAAAATGTTGGGAGAAGAGAATGTTTCGAATTTCAATTTTGAATATTGATTTTTTTCAGTGCTCTCTATAAGTTTCTGTTAGTGAAGCAATACCAGACAAGTAAACTAATGGTAACTTATTTTAATAGGAATATTACCAAATCTGACGGGGAGAATAATGGTTAATTTTTTCTTGACACAGTTTTCTTTGCCTGTTTTTATTTACTTTTTGAAATCGGTACCTTATTTCTATTTGAAAACGGAGCACTACTTTACTGTAGTTAATTGTTTCGGTCTTAGACAACGTTTGCATATATAGGGACTTCCGAACTTTGACAATTGATAACGGCCATCTTGTTGAAACTGAATGTGTTGAATTAGTTGTCATTTATTCAGTCTGTTTTGCCAAATCACCATGGATGGATATAGCATTCAAAAACCCGTGCAAATAATGAAATTGTTTTTTCGAAATGGGTGTTCTGTTCGGGCAACGTAGCGCGCGCTTCATCCATTTTACGGTCGCCATAATTGTCCTACTGAGAGGACTATTCGCAATGAGGTCGATAAATTTGAGTCCACTGATTCAGTAAAGGATCGACCAACACCCGTACGTCGACGACACGCAAGACCTGTCGAAAACATCGCCACCGGCTATGATAGTGTGCAGGAGAATCCAAGGCAGTCGATTTCGCGTCTCTCACAAGAACTCGGCCTCTCGCAGACCACAACTTGCCGAATTTTGCCTCATCTTCAGCGATGAGGCCTATTTCTGGATGAATGGGGTGAACAAACATAATTATCGAATTTTGGATGATATCAATCCACATGAGATTCAAGAGCGTCCAATGTATCCCGAAAAAGTCACGGTTTGATGATGATTTTGGGCTGGCAGCGTCATCGGTCCATATTTCTTTGAGAACAACGTTGGCCAGGCCATCACTGTCAACGGCGAGCACCATAGGTCGATGGTTACCAACTTTTTTTTGGCCTGAATTGGATGATCTGGACACCAAAGACATATGGTTTCAACAGGATGGTGCTACGTGTCACACAGCTCATGTCACATTGGATATTCTGATTTGAGGGCATGATCATCTCACGTGGAGTTGATATGAACTGGTCACCAAAATCGTGCGATTTGATCCAGTTAGACTTTTTCTTGTGGGGTTTTCTCAAGTCGCAGGTTTAAGCCACAAACCACAGCGGTCCGTAGATATCAAGTTTATTAAAGCTACGTTTGGAGTCATTGGCCATGTTTTGTTACATTTTATAAATATCTCTCTACAATATGGGCAATTTCCTGAGCAACTGAAAACTAGCATAATAGTACCTGTTCCCAAAGTCAAAAATACTAATAAAGCGGGAGAATTCCGTCCAGTAAACACCTTACCAGGAATGGAGAAACTACTAGAAATGGCTGTATACGATCAGCTCCTAAGTTATGTTCAGGCCAATAATATTCTCATAAGTAAATGTTATTATTATTATTGTATATTATTATTATTGTATGTATATTAGGATTCCTAAATAAACGTATTCATTCATTCCTCAAAGCCAACATAACCTATGCCATCGGTCAAATTCAGCTGATTTATGCGCCAGAGTCGTGGAAAATTGGATGTTTTTGATGAGCTCCACCCAGAGAAGCTGAGGCGGTTATTTGAACAATGTAATATTTCACACATAATTACACCAATAGGCCGTTCAAATGAATAGACGATATCTCACAGGCACTTTGTTTTATTTGAATTTGAAGATAGGAAGCGCTTAATGAAATACCCTATAAAAGCAATATCAATTTGAAGAAATTCGTCCCGATACCAGAAATTTGAATATCTGCAATTATCTTATTTCCTTATATAATTGACTGCATTTGTTATTGTCTTGTGTTATTTTTATAATTATGTTTTTGTTTTCATTCATCTGACCCTTCAATGAACTTTGTATCCCTGAATAACAAAATATATTATAATTGATGTGAAACATCTATAGCCGCACATTAAACCAATTGCTGGCGTGGCGACGGGTTGCCATGCGCAAGCGACTGTGCGATTCTCTTTCCACTGGTTCGGCGTTCCTTTATCTCTTTCGCAACACTGAACACTACAGTATACACAACATGTGTATACTTTTAAAAAATAAAATACATCTGACAGTGCAAAGAAAGCAAAATCACCCTATGAAACACTATCAAGTCATCAGTAAGTTAATTATATTGTTATATTTTATAATTGAAGTGTGCATTTATCTGTGCATTAAGCCCGCGTATATTTGGTCTTTCTCAAGGGTCAGTAAATCTAAAATCTACTCTCTTGGTAAAACTCATATAATTTACATATCATACATTTTTTTATTGATTATTGATTTTAATTCCATTATTATGAAAAATAATGCAGTGAAACATTTGTTTGAAGAATAAATTTCATTAAGACTAGCAAAATTGCATTTCAAAATCAGCTGATAGCGAATAGCGTACGAATGTTTTTCTTATTTGTTATTAACAGGAACATGAAAAAATTAATTAACTAATTTTTGAGGATGGTGGAATTCATATCAAAATATTTATTATTGATATTTATAATTTAAGATCTGTAGTAATATATTGCAATAACTAGCTAAGATTCTTGAGTTTACTAGTATATTAAAGCCACATTAAAAAAAATTCGGTATATTTTAATTACATATTTCTTATAAATATTTTAGTGCCCAACAATCATCACAGGCGTCTCGTGACGGCTCACAATTTTTTATACAATAGAATGATTACCATGCCTATATTATTAAATACAATTCACAATCAACGATTTCAACTTCGGAAATATTTTGTGAAAGTTTGATAGATCCAATCGTATGTACGTGTATTTTAATTTTTTTCGAATGTATATCATGCACAGAAGTTTATTTCATATATAAAATATATAGAAGGTACTTTCAGATATAGACTCGAAGAAAAGCCCTTTCGAAACAACTACTTTCACATGAACATTGAATTACACAAAAATAACATAATAGAATTGAAATATATATCATTCACGCTACACAACGTAAATTATGAAAGAGTATTGATACCTATAAAATTCCACTTACGTGGAACACTTTGTACTCATTGAAGTATCCTCATAGGTATTTTTTTAATTTCTAAAGATGAAAAGAAATGAACTTAGAAAGATTATACCATTTTGTATATGAAAGAAATTTCTATACATTATCTATACATTTTTACCAACAGTTTATTTTGAAGATGATTTATTTCTTTCTTTTGAGTGAAATCTTGAAACTTATGCGAGAAATACATGTTTAAGAAGTGCTGATGGGAAGGTGATGACAAGTGTTTTCAACCCGAAACTTCGAGAAGTAAACCATTAAGAATTACATATTTTTTCTACTTGAATTGCATGTATAATAGTTATCGTTGATTTTGACATACCGTTCTTCTCATTGTTTATTGTTCGTGAAAAGCATGATTTACTTGAAGAATTTCAGAAGTTTTCAAGTGTTACATGTTTTTTGGGCTTCCAAAAGCGTGACTTGAGTAATTACGGTATAATTTTTCAGGTTAGCTCAGTAGAGCTTAGCTTCGCATTATATATGGAGAATACAGGCATAAGATGTTCAAATTATGGTCTATGGGTAGTTTTCTTTTCTGTTGTGTTTTTCTGTGTTGTAGGCCCTGTGTACTGATAGTCCTTCAATGTCGTGGGTTACATACAATAGAGCCTGTTTGACTTATATATAATTTACAGAACGCTTTTCAGATGTTTTACATTTTGTGTTGTCATTCTCCAACAAGTGAAATTCCTTGTAACTCATGATCACTTAAGCAGTTAATCAATACAGAATTTACTAAATTTTTTGATAACACGTGATCAGTCAGTGTTTTTGTTGATGTACGACAATGTTCTCTAGTTGGAATCACGGTATTGCAGAAACTAAGAGTATTAGAAGTACAAACAAATTTGTAGTTTCGAGACATATATGTGTTGGTCAGAATGTCTTTATTGACATCAAGGAAGCAAAAATCGATTGTCCAGCCTTGCAGTTCGAACCACCGGTTCACACAGCGGTCTGTCCATTGACTGAGTGGAGCTGATCGTCCATGTCAACACACCAGGCTACCGTGTCATTAATTTTCACCAAGTAACGGGTCAGCCCATTGATAATCTAATATGTTCGTTTATTTTGTTTTACAGATGTTCAACTTATTATATTCTTCTGTTTTATTTCTGAGGATCCTGCATTCATGAACAAAATATTAATTTGGTCTACCTCATGAATTTTCAAACTTTCTATACTATTGAAATACCTTACTGAAATGCTTCGTTATACAATAGCATCTTCAAAGCATCACAATACTATGACGCAGTATTGTGACCCCTGAATGTGCTATTGTTCTAGGCAGTTTTTACTAGTTCTGTTTTTTCAATAAATGTTATTAGTTTTTCTTCTTGATTTCATCAGTATGACAGAAAAACTGCCTAGAACTTTGATATACTGACAACCCCCTAATTCAGAATGTCAAACAACACTATTCCAATAATATTTTATTTTCTGCAGACTGTGAAATGCTTGATTCATCGATTCAATTTAGATTTAATTATACGAGTATAGGTTTTTCATAAATAGTTGTTAAATATTTGCTAGAATTGCACAAATAGAGATTATAAACCTTTTTAGAATTGCCCAAGAGGGATAGGGAAATTTACTGAAATACGAAATTTGCTTTTGACATTGTTTAAAAATTTCCACTTTTTTTAGAACCCCTTTCGCTGTCGTTTTCTGGCAGTGGGTGAATCAGTCATTCAACGCTCTAGTCAATTATACTAATCGTAATGCAAAATCTCCTACATCCACTACCCAGCTTCTAGTAGCCTATGTTTCTGCCACTTCTTCTGCGATGGTCGTAGCTGTCGGACTCAAGCAGTACTGGTCAAAGAAGGCTTCTCCTATAGTACAGGTATGTGCAGGATAACAGAATGATTATAATATGAAGTAGTATATGTAAAATTCATGTAATCAAACAAAATATAGTTAACTGCCATGATACTAAATTTTCTTATAACAAGAAGTAAAAAAGGATTGTGTTTCATTAAATTGAAACTTCAATGTTGTAAAATTGAAGTTCATCAGTTTATCATCAACAATAACACTTTTATGTATCACTTGGTGCTTTTATCAAGTGAAACTCATTTTCATACCATATATATTCGTTATTGAAAAATATTTGAAAATATCCAAATTCAGAGATGTGTAAGACATTTTGTAAATATTATGTATTGGTTTTTTAGAGATATGTACCGTTTGCTGCGGTTGCAGCAGCGAATTGCATAAATATTCCGTTGATGAGACAGAATGAAATAACATATGGTATCGATTGTACTGATGAAAATGGTCGCATTGTAGGAAAATCCAAATTAGCTGCTGCAAAAGGCATAACTCAAGTAGTTATCTCTCGAATTGTAATGTGTGCTCCTGGTATGTTAATTCTACCAGTAATCATGGAAAGAGCTGAGAAATACAAGTTTATGCAGAAAATAACTTATTTACACGGACCTATACAAGTTATGGCTGTTGGATGTTTGTAAGTACATTCATTTAGTGACATTCGGTTTTCACTAGATAGAAAACATATAAAATCACCTTCAACAATGCAGAACTATATTTGACCCTATAAAAATTATGTACACATTTATTTTTCAGTTTGTCTTTCATGGTACCAACTGCCTGCGCTCTCTTCCCTCAAAGATGGTAAGTAACACTGAACATTTAGACTCTATAATTCCTGTATTGGGACTTCTTCAATGGTATGATGAAACAAAAATCACAAAATTCGATAGTCTATAAACGAGGAACGTTTTCTGTCTACGGTCAGAGTTCACAGCAAATTTTTTTATGAAAAGTATTGAATTCATGGTATAGTGTCAAGTACTGTCGATCTGAATTCATGGTCTAGTACTGACAGTTCTAATAATCTAGAAAAACAATTCGTTCAGGCCAGTTTCAACTCCCTACACTGTAGGTTAATGGACTGACATCTATCAGAAAAAAACTACTCCCCTAGCTAATACCACGAAGGGCGTTGGATTATATCCGACAGATGTCAGTGCAGGATTCTTCACTGAAGTTATTCCTGCATCTGCTGTTGACGATACAACTGCCGCAATAGATTTTCAATTATTGGAACACACTTGAAGACCGGTTTCGGGCTGTTTGGCCACTCGACAGTGCAAGGTAGTATATGTATGTGAGAAACTGACAGTTCTGCAAAAGACGAGATAATGGGACTTGACAACATTTATCTTGGCTTAATCAGTTTTCATTATTTTGTTGATCCCTCAGATGGTATCTTGTAGGATAAGTAACTATACTCACTTCTCATTCCTTGAGAAGAGTTAGGTCTAAACATGGCATACGTAATGTTTTGGAATAAAGAAATTGTTATTGTTAAAAAAGTCCACTCTCGTTGACAAATGTTTTGCTTCAAACTACAAATAGTCAAGTTTTTCATCATAAAAAAAGTAAAATAATATGAATTCACTGGTCCGCCACTTGATGAAAATTAATAACACTATCCATAATAATTATTACACAATTTTCACACTAAAAATTTAAATCAAGACGCGTTTCACTACATGTCAGTTTAATCAGTTGGACTGGTACACTAAACTATTCTATAATAATGTATTCAAAAAACACTTTATTGTGAGATTTTCACTAAATGGTTTTACAAAAATTCAACACATGTTTCGTCATACAATGGCTTCTTCGGGCGTAAAGACACAAACAATGGTTTGTAAGGATGTCTGGGTTTAGACTGTGAACAATATCTTACAGTCCTGGTTCGGAGAAAAAATTTATAGTTTAATAAAATCTGTGAGTTACTTCCCTGATTCCATATATATCTCAATAAATTCAAAATAATTCGAGTTGTGAATGACCAATACCAGATTTTGTGTATAAATTTGATATGTGGGTATCAAATGACAAATTGTTATATAAATATAAACCCAAATATTCAAAACTTTCTGTTTTTTTACCACTTTTATTTGTAACTAAAGTTACTGCTGTTTCGTTCTATAAGGACATTTTCAAACTGATACAATAAACTGCGGTAACGTTAGTTACAAATAAAAGTGGTAAAAAAACATAGAAAGTTTAATTTTTCATGATGATCTCCTGCCACGTAGTAACGGTTACATCCATCAATTTATCAAATAGTTAGTTGCCAACTCTTACTCAATTATTGAATTTCTCAGGGAAATTGGAGGTATTGAAAAATGATAATTATAATAATAATAATAATCTTCATTTTCCTTCATGACAATCATTGATTGCATAGGAATAGAAGGCGTCCGTAAAATATGCAAACGACCTAAAGTAAGTGGTAAGGAAAGGGTATGAATTTAGGGATAAACTGCTTGCCAATTCCAACAGGTCTAGATCCTTCTGTTCGGTTGCTAAACCTTTAATCGAATCTTTACAAAATCCACAATTCCACCACTAACACAAGCGGATGGTTCAATTGCAAACAACAGCCACACAACAAGCAAATCTACTAGTTGAACAAATTGTGTCTCACTCCACAGTCGATTTTCTGGGAAAGGCACCACCCACTATTACCACAATAGAATCCACAATGCCGGAAGTTATTTTTCAACAGCGTCTAATCAGGCAAATTTTGAAACACCTCAATATCAACAAGACGTCTGATCCTGATGAAGTGCCCATCATCGTACCTGAAAAGTGTGCAAATGAACTCGCACCAGTATTTAGCAGACTTTTCAACCTGTCTTACAAGGAAGGGGTTTTTCCTTCTTGTTGTAAGATTACTCTCATTCAGCCTATTCCCAAAAAGGGCCAAAAAATATCTTCCAAATAACTTATAAACCAGTCGGTTTGATATCAGTGATATCAAAAATCATGGAGAAAGCCGTAAACCACCATTTCCTCAAATATTTGGAAAGGCTTTAACATTTTGAGCGATCATCAATATGGCTTTCGGAAACAAAGATCAACAGGCGACCTTCTATTGTATGTCACCCATATTTGGAATAACTCAATCGAGAAACATAGAGAGTCGAGAGCTGTTGCACTTGATATTTCTAAGGCCTTTGACCTTTTGTGGCATGAGATTTTGCTGGCCAAACTTCGATGCTATGCTTTGTCGGATCATTTTTGTGCATCTTCAGCTTCCTGAAAGATCGTTTCCTGCAGGTGGCCGTCGATGAATACCTCTCGAATACTTTTACCATTAATGCTGGTGTTTCCCAGGGATCTATATTGTCTCCAACCCCTCTTCTTATTGTGAATTAACGACTCATTGGAAAAAACTAAGAATCCAGTCAGTCCATTTGGATTCCAGGACATCGGCTGCGGATGCACATCTTTACCGGCAGCAGGAGGTTGAATATCTTGATGAGGATCTAGAAGTGATTTCAAATTAGGATGAAAGTAACCAGATTCAATTCAGTGCCACGGAAGCCCAGGCATCGGTTTTCTCCAAAAAGATAAATGTTTCCGAACCGCATAAAATAGTGTTAAGACAGACAATTCCGCTTTCTGCTTTGGTATGTTTTTGAGGGTTGAAATGAACACCAATATGTCTTGGCACAATCATGTCAATGGAATTGTAAAGGCTGCTTCTCAAAAGTTTCAGAACATTGTTTCGAACCAGAAAACTGTACACACCTCAGCCACTTTTGATGCTTTATAAAGCTCAGATCAGACCTTTTTGGAGTATTGTTCTCATGTGTGGAGCCATGTCCCTATGCATACCCTGAAGCTGCTCTATTGAATATCACTTGCAACCTTTATAGTTTGGAACATCGAAGAAAGGTTGGAGATTTGTCTCTCTTCTATAGATACTTTCACGGAAAGTGTTCAAGGGACTTGACATATTTGATTCCACCAAGAGCAGTACATATCAAAAATACGCGACGGACTGTGTTTTGAGGTTCAACGCAGCACAACCTCGAACTTCACTGTTTAAGAACTCTTTCATTTGGAGAACTGTGTTAATGTGGAATAAACTTTCTAAGAAAGTTTTTCCAAATGGATTCAATCTCCAGCGATTCAAATCCAATGTGATAAAGATATTTCTGTAGTGCTTGTGTTTTATCCCTAAAAAAAGTAGTTGAGGGTAGTTTCCTGGAGTGTGACATGACTGAAAGTCTTCAGCAGTAATCTACCTGACTTTTATCCACCTAAGTTAACTGGACGAGTTTGGGGACTTTTGGTAAGGGAGGAACCATCGACTAAGGCTCAACCCTACTGCTAATATGACATGTCATAGCGTCAAGCCCCATGGACAGTGAATCATTCAAAATTTAGCCTTGCACTTTTGAGGGGTTTATACCAACCCCTTACTGGTACTATATACCAAATTTGATCATTTTTAGCATACACCACTCTAGAAATATGCTATTTGGTACAAATTTGCTCATAAGCATATCCAAAATAGAATTTTGTTCAGGTTTTCCTACCTACTAAGACAATTGTATTCGATGCCCAGCAGAGTACTGAAAAGTTTTACATGTTTTACATGAATAATCAGTTGATACCTAGATAATGAGGGATACAAGTAGGTAGATACCTTTGATAGTTTAGAAATCGAAAAATTGGAATAAGGTGTGCTGCTGACTGAGCATAAAATAAGTTGCTGCTATGACCAAACAGACAAATCGGTAGTTGCATAACACACTCTCTCAGATGGCAGCCATGACATTGCCTTTGAACACACAGAAGTTCTTGATAAAACCAGCCCATTGAGCCCATAGAAATACATAAGCATAAGAATAATCTCAACCGTAAGGAAGTGAGCTTGAACATCATTACATGGATACCGCCACTTCATAACACAAATATTGTCCCAATAATTGAAAAAGGTATGAGTCATTATATTTGCTAAATATTCCTTGAAATAGATGATGGTTTCTCTGGTTCATCAAGCCTGACTAGACAGCAAACTTCATAACTGAAAAAGGAAGAAAAAAAACCAATAAATATCCCCGAAAACTTTTTGGGAAAATTTATTGATACTTCCTTCCGTTTGTGAAAGACATATCTATTGATAATCTACAAATTTTTAGAGTTCGTGTCTATAGTTTTCTATTTCCCTTGTACTAGTGAAGTAGAGTAATCCAGATTTTTTTTGAAAAATAAATCTCCCCAGAAAATTATTTTCTATGGCTATTCACATATCATTGCATTTTCCCCTAAGTGAAGTTTTTGTTCAATTATTTTTTT